TTTGAAGGGTCATGTTGTCTCCAGACTTTCTCAATAATGGCTTAAGATAGAAACATGAAACTTTCAGGTATGATAGACCAAAGTCTATAGATATGTATAACGTGTTTCATTTTTATCGGAAGTGCCGCACGTCGGCGCTCGCTATGGCCCGAATATAGTCGTATCGCGAATTTCAAATATTTTAACACCTTTCCTACGATATCTTTTTACCTGGTAACATTTTGTTAAAACATATAGAATAAAAGAAGTGTAGAATTCCAAGATCTTTCAAATGATATCTTGCAAAAGGGACTGGCCCCTAAAATGAGGGGCCTAGAGGGGCCAAAAGTTTTTTCTTTATATCTCAAAAAGTATTGAGAATTTGTAATACGTCAAAGAAGCAAACTTGTTCAAAATGTCAAGCTGTATCTACCGCTGTCGTCAAAATACGTCCGGCGTCGTCACTTCCGGCCAAACCGGAAGTAGTCGGAAAACGCGTATTTTTGCCGTTCTTGACAGGTTTTTGGATAACATATGTCTCTGGGAGCATAAAAATTAATTTTTCGTCCGTCAGCGTCACTTCCGGTCAAACCGGAAGTAGCCAAAAATAGCTAATTTTGAAGGTTTTTGATGCAAAATTAAAATTATATACTCACTGGAGACGACATAGCTCATTGCTTTCTTTTTTGATGCCACTTCCGGCACTTCCGGTCAAAACCGGACGGAAGACCTACTCGTTGCTTTGCAACGAGCTTTGCTCTAGTTATTATTATTGTTTTTTTTTTCTTACCGATTTTGTGCACGCGATTTCTCGAAAACGGCTCGATGGATTCCTATGAAACTTTCAAGACTTATGTAACATCACTTGAACCTTATGCGTTTTTTTCTGTTTTGATGACGTCAATTCCGGTCCGGAGTTATCAGCACTTTAATGATTTTTTAAGGGTCAGTTTGTCCGCACGATTTCTCCTAAACGACTTTAGATAGACACGTGATACTTTCAGATCTAGTAGACCTATGTCTGTAGATTTGTGGAATGTATTTTATTTTTACCGGAAGTGCTGCACGTCGGCGCTCGGTATGGCCCGAAAATAGGCCTATCGCGAATTTCAAAATTTTTAGCACTTTTTCTACGATATCTTTTTACCTGGAAATATTCTGTTAAAACATATAGAACAAAAGAAGTGTAGAATTTTAAGTTCTTCCAAATGATATCTCGGAAAAAGGGCTGGCCCCTAAAATTAGGGGTCTACAGGGGCCGAAAATTTTTCCTTTATATCTCAAAAAGCATTGAGAATTTGTAATACTTCCATGAAGCAAAGTTGTTCAAAATGTCAAGCTTAATCTAATGGAGTCGTCAAAATACGTCCGTCGACGTCATTTCCGGCCAAACCGGAAATAGTCGAAAAACGCGTATTTTTACCGTTCTTGAAAAGTTTTTGGGTAACATCTGTCACTGGGAGCATAAAAATTAATTTTCTATCGGTCGTCAACACTTCCGGTCACACCGGAAGTAGCATAAACTTCCGGTCAAACAGGACGGAAGACCTACTCGTTGCTTTGCAACGAGCTTTGCTCTAGTTCTTATTATTTTTTTTCTTACCGATTTTGTGCACGCGATTTCTCAAAAACGGTTGGTTATATTTTTATGAAACTTTCAGGTCTGATAGAACATAAAAAAAACTTGATGCATTTTTTTTCATTTTGATGACGTCACTTCCGGTTCGAAGATTTTTGCAATTTTGTGATTTTTAAGCGTCATTTTGTCCGTCGCTCTTCTTAAAAACCGCTCATCACAGGAAGATGAAACCTTTTCTGGAAGATAGAGCAACAAATGTAGATTTGCATTGTGTTGTTAACTTTCACCGGAAGTACTGCACGTTAACGCTCGGCATGGTCTGAAAAAAAGTCATATTGAGCGTTTCAAAATTTCTTACACTTTTTCTATTGTATCGTTTTACTTGTAAATATTTTGTTAAAACATATAGAACAAAAATTGTGAAGAATTCTGAGATCTTTCAAATGATATCTCGAAAAAAGGGCTGACCCCTAAAATTAGGGATCTAGAGGGGCCAAAATTTTTTACTTTATATCTCGAAAAGTATTGAGAATTTGTAATACTTCAAAGAAGCAAAATTGTTCAAAATGACAAGCTTAATCTATTTGACTCGTCAAAATACGTCCGGTGTCATCACTTCCGGCCAAACCGGAAGTAGACAAAAACGCGTATTTTTGCCGTTCTTGTCAAGTTTTTTGGGTAACATATGTCTCTGGGAGCATAAAAATTAATTTTCCGTCCGTCGTCGTCACTTCCGGTTAAACCGGAAGTAGCAAATATTGCTTATTTTTGCATTAATTAACATAGCTTTAGAGGATTCAAACCATTTTTAGGTGTTATTTCCCATTTTTGTTGAAAATGAAAGCTACTTCCGGTCAAACAGGACGGAAGACCTACTCGTTGCTTTGCAACGAGCTTTGCTCTAGTTATTATTAAGGTCTTCCGTCTTCAGCGGAAGACCTTCTTGTTATTCTTAAGTTTCTTTTTCACTTTTATTATTATTATTATTATTCTTTTTTTTCTTACCGATTTTGTGCACGCGATTTCTCGAAAACGGCTCGATGGATTTCAACGAAACTTTCAGGACTTATGTAACATTACTTGAACCTTATGCATTTTTTTCTGTTTTGATGACGTCACTTCCGGTTTGGAAATATTGCCGATTTTATGAATTTTAAAGGGTCAGGTTGTCTCCAGACTTTCTCAATAATGGCTCTAGATAGAAACATGAAACTTTCAGGTATGATAGACCAAAGTCTATAGATATGCGTAACGTCTTTCGTTTTTACTGGAAGTGCAGTACGTTGGCGCTGGCTATGGCTCGAAAAATGACAAGTGGCACATTTCAAAATTTTATACACCTTTTCTACGATATCTTTTTACCTGTAAACATTTTGTTAAAACATATAAAACAAAAGAAGTGTAAAATTTAACGATCTTTCCAATGATAGCTTAGAAAAAGGGCTGGTCCCTAAATTTAAGGGCCTAGAGGGGCCGAAAGTTTTTCTTACATAAGTCAAAAAGTATTAAGAATTTGTAAGAGGTCAAAGAAGCAAAGTTGTTCAAAATTTCAAGCTTAATCTACTAGCGTCGTCAAAATACGTCCAGCGTCGTCACTTCCGGCCAAACCGGAAGTAGTCGGAAAACGCGTTTTTTTGCCGTTCTTGACATGTTTTGTGGTTACATATGTCTCTGGAAGCATAAAAAGTAATTTTTCCGTCCGTCGTCGTCACTTCCGGTCAAACCGGAAGTAGCAAAAAATGGCTTATTTTGAAAGTTTTGGTGCAAAATTGAAATCATTAAGTCACTGGAGACTTTTAAGCTCCTTGCTTTCTTTTGTTGTGTCACTTCCGGCACTTCCGGTCAAAACCGGACGGAAGACCTACTCGTTGCTTTGCAACGAGCTTTGCTCTAGTTATTATTCTTTTTTTTCTTACCGATTTTGTGCATGCGATTTCTCGAAAACGGCTCCATGGATTTCAACGAAACTTTCAGGACTTATGTAACATTACTTGAACCTCATGCATTTTTTTCCGTTTTGATGACGTCACTTCCGGTTTGGAAATATTGCCGATTTTATGAATTTTAAAGGGTCAGGTTGTCTCCAGACTTTCTCAATAATGGCTCTAGATAGAAACATGAAACTTTCAGGTATGATAGAGCAAAGTCTATAGATATGCGTAACGTCTTTCGTTTTTACGGGAAGTGCAGTACGTCGGCGCTGGCTATGGCTCGGAAAATGACATATCGCAAATTTCAAAATTTTTAACACCTTTTCTACGATATCTTTTTACCTGTTAAGATTTTGTTTAAACATATAGAACAAAATAAGTGTAAAATTTCAAGATCTTTCAAATGATATCTTAAAAAAAGGGCTGGCCCATAAATTTAAGGGCCTAGAGGGGCCGAAAGTTTTTCTTTCATAAGTCAAAAAGTATTAAGAATTTGTAAGAGGTCAAAGAAGCAAAGTTGTTCAAAATGTCAAGCTTTATCTACTGGTGTTGTCAAAATACGTCCGGCGTCGTCACTTCCGGCCAAACCGGAAGTAGTCGGAAAACGCGTTTTTTTTTGCCGTTCTTGACAAGTTTTGTGGTTACATATGTCTCTGGAAGCATAAAACGTAATTTTTCCGTCCGTCGTCGTCACTTCCGGTCAAACCAGAAGTAGCAGAAAATGGCTTATTTTGAAGGTTTTGATGCAAAAATGAAATTATAAAGTCACTGGAGACTTTTTAGCTCATTGCTTTCTTTTGTTCTGTCACTTCCGGCACTTCCGGTCAAAACCGGACGGAAGACCTACTCGTTGCTTTGCAACGAGCTTTGCTCTAGTTATTATTTTATTTTTTTCCCGCTCGATTTTTGACAGGCGATTTCTCAAAGACCTTTGGACTGATTTTTATGAAGCTTTCAGGTTAGATACCTTGTAATTAAACCTATTTACACCTGTTTTCAATTTTTTGATGCATGCCTTTAATTGTGAGTTATTGCCCTTTAATTGATAATTTTGATGTCTCGTTTCCACTAAAAATCTCAAGAACGACGTAAGATATTTACACGAAAGTTGGAGAACTTGTAGCCAATACATTGTAGATGTGCAGAACGATAAAATTATAAGCTGATTTCCTAAAGTTTGGAAGCTATAAAACGGCAAATTTTAGTAATTTTTTTTCTTTGAATTTTTGCTACTTTTTGTGTAATAACTTTTAAACCGAGAATAATTTGGTTAGAAATATATAACAAAAGTTGTGGGTAATTACGAGAGCTTTCATATTTGATTAATGAAAAGGGGCTGGCCCCTATAATTAGGGGTTAATAGCTCATACACGCTTTTTTCTGATAGCTAAAAATATTGGTATATTATGAAAAAGTTTGACTGAAATAATTTCGAACTTATAAAATCTTGTCATTTGATATAAAAAGAAATAAACTTCCAGCTATATTTAATTGATTATTTTATAAAACAAGTACATGTATGTGAGAAACCTTTCAGGAACAAGTTGTCTACTATAGCCAGCCAAGCCTTTACTGCATACATGTGCACATTTTTAGTTGATGCATCTAAAAGATATAGTTTTGATTCGGTGTTTCTTTGTTTTCTTTTTATTCAAATAATTTTAAAATGTGATGATGTACACAACAATAATTAGTACCTAGTTTAGAGGATTTTTTCGCGCTTGTTTGTAAACAACGCGCGGCATTGTGGGAAATAGGAAGGTACTAAAGACGCGATGTACTAAACACTGATTTGACCTGATTCAAATTTGTCTGTAAATGTTCCAAACAATTGAATTTTTGTATAGCATATGCCTCGAAGTCATAAAGTCTGTACATAAGTAATTTAAAATACTCAATATTACCATTTAATTAAAAATTAAAACGTCAGATAAATATCAGGTCTCTAGTATATCCCGTTTTTAGTGTGCCCCTTCGAGTCGACGTCGGACACATGTTTGCCATGGTTTACAAACTGAAAATAGAATGATTTGTGAAGTTGAACATTTTCTCACAAAGAATCCGTTTGTAGACATGTACACTCATTTAATCTGCAGATACGAAGTACTTTGTCACTTCTCTGGAACATTATTCTAAGCAGAATTATCCCGATTCATATATTCTAAGAATCTTGTGTGAATTGTTTACGAGGAAATTCTGACTGTCACATTAACAAGGATGAACACTCTTGACTCTGCTTCGGATTCCCCAGTGATAATTGTATCGAGTGATGAAAGAGCTGACGGCGACATTTTAATGTATGATTGGCTTGGACCATTGGAATGAAGGTTAGAATATTTTTATTACTTAAAATTTACACTACTGATTACATGACAGTGACATACATTGATGTTATTAGAAATACACAGACACACCGATATATTATCTGTTTTACAGTTCAGACGCTCTCTGTTTACCTTGTAAATCCCCACAGCTTTATATTTTATTTTTTTTAAATTTGAGGATGTAATTTCAACAGTCCTACTATCTATCATAGTGATCATACTCTATAATTCAAACTGCACGTAATGTTACAGAATATATTCAACTAATTATATATTGACAGTGTGACTGTAAGGGTAAGGGCAGATACTTATTTAGTTTTAATTTAGATTGTGCTTGTCAAGCCGCATTTGACATTTGGTGCATCCATGCTCAGTGTTCACACTGAGAGTTTATTCAAATGTTTAATTCGAATGAATTCACTGCTCATTAAATTACTTCCCATTAGCTCAATGTGAACATGAGTAAGGATAGCTAATTCAAATTAAATAGAAATGAATTTTGAATGTAGCTTAAACATGTTAAAGAAGCTAAGCACCGTGGGTCCAAAGTACACTGCGGAAAAATTGTGTGGAGCAATGTGCAAGTCACAATCTTCTTTTGCCAAGGTCTTATCATAAGAGCTCGCATCATGGGCAGGAATTTGTGCTGCTGTCTGGACTCGCTATAAATAGATGTTCTCAAAAAGTCTTAATTATTTAATATCATACTTTACTGACAAAAAAGGACAAATATTGCTCAGTTAAATTGCAAAAGAAATTTGTTTAAAAAAATTGTAATAATAGAAAGTTTGTTTTTTTGTTTGATAAGACTGCTGTAATGGTTTAATGTTTGTTTATTTGCCTTTAAATCATACATTTTTCAGTCATTTCATGGTGCCACCACTTGGGATGGTATTAGCTGCAAATATAGACTTCAGTACTCAGCACTTATTGCCTTTAAGAAGTATGAGATCCATTTTGTGCTAACACCTACCGTGACACAGAATCTTGGTTTATGCAGTCTCATAGGAGTAACCTGTCTAAAGCATCAAATTTAGCAATGGGATTGGAACCTGCGACGTAAGGTTCAGCTTCTTATTGATACTTTGATTTATAATATTTATTTGAGAATTTCACTCATTCACATACTTAGAGATGTTGATATATATTGTTGAATAGCATCAATTTAGACCTTTACGTAGCTAAGTAAACATGTACTGTGAGGTTTTTAAGGTCTCATTCATTTTATATGTCAGATGCATGTTAAGGAACATTACTGCATAAATGTTTTTGTCTTAAATTTGAAGCTCTTTACTAATATAGAGATATGTTAGTGTTAAACCTCTTCAAATTAGGGTAGACCTTTACTTTAAACTCAGCAATGTGAGTGTGTTGTGTGAACTTGTGTTAGCGAGACAGTGTGTTGTATGAATTTGTGTTAGCAAGGCAGTGTGTTTTGTGAACTTAATTGTGTTAGCCTGACAGTGGGTTGTGTGAATTCTTGTTAGCTTGACGATGTGTTGCGTAAACTCGTGTTAGCGGGACAGCGTGTTGTGTGAAATCGTGTATAGAGTGTAAGTGTGACAGTGTGTTGTGTAAACTCGTGTTAGCTAGACAGAGTGTTGATTGAACTCGAATTAGCGAGACTTCGTGTTGTGTAAACTCGTGTTAGTGAGACTGTGTGTTGTGTAAACTCATGTTAGCGAGACTGCGTGTTGTGTAAACTCATGTTAGCGAGACAGCGTTGTAACATATGATTACTTGATATGTTTATTTGATCGGGTTCGTTATACAAATTATCTATTAATAAACTTGTTGATGGAACACATGTGTTATCCCTAGCAGTTCAGGTTTCGGGCATACAGGCGGACATTACATGGTGTCAGAAGTGCTAGCTGTGTCTGGGCAGTCATTCAGAACATTCTGTTTCAATTTTTTGGCCGTTTCCGAGAGAAACAGCAATTCGCATTCTAAAAAAAAAAAGCCTCGGACATATCAGGTCAGTGAATGTGAAATTTCATCTTGGCCGCCGCTGCACAGTTCGACCCGCCGAATCTAGACTGGGAAGCACCAGACACGTATCAGGAATTCTGTCGCTTTAAACAGCACGTACAGTTTGTATTCAAAGGACCACTTACATCTGCTAAGGACAAAGATCGAGCAGGATGGCTGGGAATCTGGGTCGGTAAACAAGGACGTGAAGTGTACAAGACATTTGAGTGGGACTCTGGAGACGAGGACAAACCCAACAAAATTCTCGACAAATTCGAGGCATACGTTAGCCCAAGGAAAAATAAACGAGCAGCCCGATTCAAGGTGAAACAGAGAAAACAAGGTGAGAGTGAGCCATTTGATAACTTTGTTAAAGACTTGAAGCTAATCATTATGGACTGTGAATACACAAACCCCGATGATCTCCTGATAGACGCTATAATAGCAGGAGTCAGACATGTGAAGGTACAAGAAAGACTTTTGGATCAAGGTAGTGACCTTACACTCGCAAAAGCTCTCAGCATTGGTCGTCAGTATGAAAACTCACAGAAACAGCTTAAACTCATTCGAGGAAGTGAGGAACAGACAGTCACTCAACAGGTTTCACAAGTACATGCCGTACATAAAAAGGTGTATCAGCACAAACCTCGTCACAAAACAAAGAGACACAAGAAACAGCCTTACGTACCCAAAGCCAAAAGTGAGAAGTGTAGTAGGTGTGGGCTTGACCCTACAGAAGGCCATGCAAAATCAGGTCAGTGTCCGGCAATCGGATCAACGTGCAAATATTGTCATAAGAAGGACCATTGGATAGCCGCGTGCCGAAAACGTACAAGAGGAGTTAATACACTACAAGAGACAGATAGTGAAACCAGTTCTTCAGATGAAGGAGTACTTCACATATACAGTGCACAAGATGACAGTTTTGTGGTTAATGACAAGTGGGTAGTGAAAGCAAACATCAACAACAAGCCTGTGAAATTCAGAATAGACACTGGGGCAAAGTCTTCAATTATTGTGAAATCAGTGTTCGACTCTCTTGGATCTCACGCACAGACTCGCAAGAGTACAAAAGTTCTCAAATCCTACACTAACCATAGGATCCGTCCCTTATACAGTGTTGACCTTCCAATCAAACATAAGGGAAAGCAGGTGAATGTGCAGTTCGAGATAGTAGAGTTGGAACAGGAGAACATTATCAGTGGTGATGTTGCAGAAAAACTAAATCTGATTGAAAGGATACAGAAACTGGATACCGGGATCGATAATCAACCAGAATCCAAGTTCAAGGACTTTCCCGAGCTCATTAAAACTTCAGGAACCCTGCCTGGAGAACACAACATTGAGATAGATCCGGACGCAGAAGGAGTTATTCATGCACCTCGTAGACAGCCAGCATCACTGAAACCTAGGATCATAGATAAGCTTAAGGAAATGGAACAGAATGGCTACATCACAAAAGTAAATACCCCAACTGAATGGGTCAGTTCGATGGTCATATCTATGAGGAACGACAAGATTCGCATCTGTTTGGACCCGTCCGACCTGAACAAAGTCGTCAAACGAGCTCATCATCCAATGAAAACAGTCGAGGATATTGTTTCCAACATACCAAATGCACGTGTTTTCTCCAAGCTAGACGCAAAGTCAGGATTCCTCCAAATTAAGCTGAATGAGAAATCATCATACTTAACAACCTTCAATACTCCAATAGGAAGGTACAGATGGCTTCGTCTTCCATTTGGCATCAAATCCGCTCCCGAAATCTTTCAGCATATCATGGATCAGATGCTTGAAGGGATAGAAGGTGCAGCAGCAGTGATGGATGACATACTTATCGGAGGAAGAGATGTAGAACAGCATGATCAGATATTCAGAAAAGTCATTGAGAGAGCTACACAGTATAATCTGAAGCTTAACTATGACAAATGTGAAATCAGACAGCCGCAGGTCTCATATGTAGGACACTTGATTACAGAGAATGGTGTTAGGCCAGACCCGAGCAAAGTCCGAGCTCTAGTCGATATGCCAAGGCCAAAGGATAAGGAAGGAGTGAGACGCTTCTTAGGACTGGTTCAGTATTTAGCCAAATTTATACCAAACTTAAGTCAAGTGGATGCACCACTAAGAGTTCTTGTGAAAGCAGAAACACAATTCGCGTGGAATCACGAGCAGGAAAACTGTTTCAGGGAACTTAAAAGACTCTGTAGTAGACAACCTGTGCTTGCGTTTTACGATGTAAACAAGCCAGTGGAGATTCAATGTGACGCATCTAAGGATGGACTCGGTGCAGTTCTAATCCAAGCAGGACGCCCTGTTGCATACTCATCTCGCTCGCTCACAGACACAGAGAAGTGCTACGCGCAGATAGAAAAAAATGCTGTCCATTGTTCATGCAGCAACAAAATTCCATTGTTATATCTTTGGAAAAGAAACCATTGTCTACAATGACCATAAACCACTGGAAATGATCTTTCAAAAGCCACTAGTTTCCGCACCCATGAGGTTGCAGAAAATGCTGCTGAGGCTTCAGTGGTACAACCTAAAAGTCCGTTACCGCAAAGGAAAGGATATGACAGTCGCAGATGCTCTTTCCAGAGAGTACCTACCTGAAGCTGATCCGGAGATGGAGACTCTAGAAAACATCAATATGTTCGATATGTTAGACGTCACTCCAGATCGCTATTTGGACATAGCCCAACGTACCAAATTAGAATTGTCAGACCTATGTAGCATAATAGTACAAGGATGGCCAGACATCAAATCCGAAACACCTCTTAGCGTCAGAGAGTATTGGGATTCTAGAGATCTCTTATCAGTCACAGATGGCATAGTCTACAAGGGATTGAGAATCGTTATACCACCAAGTCTACAAAGCCACATGCTGAAACTGATTCATGAGTCACATTTAGGAATTGTCAAATGCAAACAGAGGGCAAGAGAGGTCATGTATTGGCCCACCATGAATACAGCCATTGAAGAGGAAGTCAGAAATTGTTCAAAATGTGCCACGTACCAAAACAAACAGAGTCGTGAACCACTTAAGCCAGCATATGCACCTGAGATTCCTTATGGGGAAGTTGGATGTTATTTGTTCGACTTTCAACAGAAGACGTACCTTATGATAGTGGATTATCATTCCAGATACTTTGACGCAATTGAACTGAAATCTACAACAACATCAGCAGTCGTCAATGCTATGAAAGCTACATTTAGCTGTCACGGGATTCCAATGAAATTGCGATCAGACAATGGACCTCCATTTAATTCACGAGAATTCCATTTGTTTTGCAACCAATACGGAATACAACACACCACATCAAGTCCGCATTTTCAAAGTTTTAATGGAGAAGCAGAAAGAGCAATACAGACAGTCAAGAAACTGTGGAGAAAGTCAGATGATAGATATCTCAGCTTGTTAAACTACCGAACAACACCGCTGGAGTCAGTCAACCTATCACCAGCACAACTCTTAATGGGCCGTAGACCACGGAACAACTTACCAACCCGAACAGAGCTACTCAAGTCCAGAAACGCAGGACCAAATCTAAGTCAGCAAATGAAAGATATCAAGGAGAAGCAGAAGTTCTATTATGATAGGAGACATGTGAAAGAATTACCGCGCTTAGATATCGGTGATCAAGTAAGAGTTGCACCCCCAGAAACCTCGAACACCAAGGAGTGGAAACCAGCAACAGTAGTTGAACAACACAAACAGCCGAGATCCTACATCGTTGAGTTTAACAACAATCAGAGGCTCCGACGCAACAGGAAACATCTCAGACGAACAAATCCGAATGCTAACCGTTTGCCAGAAATGGAACCAGAACCGGATACAGAAAGTGATTCCGAGATTGATTCGCACGAACCTCCAAACACAGTGAACAAACATTCTTCGAAAGGTGTCGTACTCGCAAACTCACCTAAACCTGTCGTTACTTCATCTGGTCGTGTTGCGAGGAAACCGAACCGACTAAACCTCTGAATTCCTATTCATTGACATTTGTGAACTCAGTAATTAAGTTTATTGCATATGGAATTGATTGCTTTAATTATTTCAGAAATTGTCTTATTGAATGTTGCTAATTAACAGAATTTCTAATTGATGAGTCAAATTAACTTTCATTTCATGTATGCCTTCAAATTGAATTTGATTTCATATTGTATTAATCTTTCTAAAGGAAGGGAGATGTAACATATGATTACTTGATATGTTTATTTGATCGGGTTCGTTATACAAATTATCTATTAATAAACTTGTTGATGGAACACATGTGTTATCCCTAGCAGTTCAGGTTTCGGGCATACAGGCGGACATTACAAGCGTGTTGTGTGAACTCTTATTAATGAGACAGCATGTTGTGTGAATTCGTGTTAGCGTGACAGTGTGTTGTGTGAACTTGTTATCCTGAAAATTTGTCGTGTGAACTGGTGTTAGACAGATAGTGTGTTGTGTGAACTCTTGTTAGCGAGATTGCATATTGTGTGAACTCGTGTTAGCCAGACTGCGTGTTATGTGAACTCGTGTTAGTTAGCGATATTGCATGTTTTTGAATTTGTGTTAGCGTGACAGTGTGTTTTGTGAACTCGTGTTAGCCTGACAGTGTGTTGTGTGAAATGTTATTGGGATGACAGTGTGTTGTGTGAAATGGTATTAGGATGACAGTGTGTTATCGCAACAGCGTTTGATGCGAACTTGTGTTAGTGAATAGTGAGACAGCCTGTTTTGTGAATTCGTGTTAGCGTGACAGTGTGTTGTGTGAACTCGTGTTAGCCTGACAGTGTGTTGTGTGAAATGGTATTAGAATGACAGTGTGATGTGTGAAATAGTATGAGGATGACAGTGTGTTATCGCAACAGCATTTGGTGCGAACTTGTGTTAGTGAATAGGGCCATCCTTAAAAAATTGTTTGTTTGGAATTGCCGCCTGAAGGTTTTCAATCAGAGGAGGGAAGGAGGGAAATTATTTTTTTTTTTAAATTTAAGAAAAATTTTAATTTGTTTTAAAAATCTCAGTAAACAGTAAATTCATTTTCTGACTTTAAACAAAAATATCTACAATCAACAAAAAAAAAAACCCTTAATTTTACATAGATCTTTACACTATATTTCAGTGTTTTGTATGGTGCATGTCATACATGTAATGGGCAAAAAATTGATGAAATAAAAAAAAGATCATCATACTTTTGATCAGTAAAATTTTTTCAGGAGAGGGCATTTCAATGAGGCGGGAGGCAATTCCAAACAAACTGTAATTTTATTTTGGCCTAGTGAGACAGCCTGTTTTGTGACTTTGTGTTAGCGTGACAGTGTATTGTGTAAACTCGTGTTAGCGTGACAGTGTATTGTGTAAACTCGTGTTAGTGAGACTGCGTGTTGTGTAAACTCATGTTAGCGTGACAGTGTGTTGTGTGAATTCATCTAAGCGTGACAGTGTGTTGCGTGTACTTGTGTTAGCTAGACAGTGTGTTGTATGAACTCGTATTAGCGAGACTGCGTGTTGTGTAAAACTTGTGTTAGCAAGACAGCGTGTTGTGTGAACTTGTGTTAGCGAGACAGCGTGTTTGTGAATTTGTGTTAGCATGATAGTGTGTTGTGTGAACTCGTGTTAGCCTGATATTTTGTTGTGTGAATTTAAATTGTATTAGCGTGACAGTGTGTTGTGTGTTAGTGTGACAGCGTGTGGTGCGAACTTGTGTTAGTGCGAAAGTGTTTATCAGTGTTGTGATGGCGAGCTGTGTGATAGCCTAATGGCGTCTTTTGTGTCGGTAAGATGGCACGCTTTTATGAAAGTGCTATTGAGCTTTAGCAAGTGGCCCTATCTGGACACGCCTTATTATAATTGATCAGTTCTCAGATATACAGTGAATTACCGGTATTATTGTCACCATGAATTCAGCATTTACAGTTGCAATTACCTAGTTAGTAATCATAAGATATTGGTTTGCGAGTTTTAAAATTATGGTGTTCCAATGATGTGAAGTTGCAGTGTGTTAGCATGTTAATTTCAACAGACTGCCACTCCAATGCAGCTTAAACAACACGCTGCTGTGTTTACACAAAACAAAATATCATGCAAACACAACTCTAAACAATCTGTTGAGTGTTAGCTTCACTGCATGTTGGATTCAGTGTGCTTGCATATTATCACTGACGTACATGCTAGCACATTGTCACCTCGTGCTAGTATGTTGTCATAAATACTCTAGCACATTATCCTAAACCCACTAGTGCATGATTACTTTGCACTTGTATGTTGTCTTATTAGGGGATAGCATAAATGACTGCCTTAATTGGTGTAAACTTCTTTTAATTGATGAAAGAGTACATTAAAATCTACAAATTATACACAGAAAATGTGACAATATCTTATCTCTCAATTTGATAATCTAATTTATAATCTCATGAATTGCACTTTTTATTAGTAAAAGAATTATAAATTAAAAAATTTCAATTTCTTTTGGATAGGTGTGACTCATCTGAATACTGAATTTTGATACCAAGCATGACCATGATTTGCCAGAAGATCATCTGTTTGGATGTGACATGGAATAAACAGCATAGTGAAAATAAGTCAAGTTTTGGTTTTTGAAGACAATTTTTAAACACACTGTGTATCATTTTTAAATTTTAATTTGACAACATAAATCCACAAATATGAACATATCAATTGCTCTCCGTTTTTCAAGTGAAATAGTTTTTGTAACAGAAATACATGTACCAGTAATTACATTGGAATAAATGTTATTTTTAAATATAATAATATTTTGTTTGTGTAGCATGTTGACCTCTTTATTAAGGTCTTCTCTTTCAAAGTTTAGACTTACTTATTCTAATGATTAAGATAGATCCTCTGTCTTCAGCAGGAATATAAGATCTTGTAATACATGTATGTGTATTTTTTACAGTATAATGTAAAAAAAATTGTTATTTTGGCACACACAACTAATTAAAGGCATAAACATGTGTATGATTCCAAGGAATTCAGTACATAGGGCATGTACATGTAGTTTTCTAAAACAAGATTGAAGAGATGTCCAGTCGCATTTCAATGTCAACTCCAAAACTGTGCCTGTTGCATACTTATTAGCCCATCTGAGCTAAAGGAACCAGTAAATTTTTTAAAAACATAATTTTATCCATTATCATCATTGTCTAAAATTTCACAATATCATTTTCCAGAACCAAAGTGAAACTTGGCACAGAGCATCCTTAGTGTAGGGGATTCAAATTGTTCTTATGCAGGGCAATACCTTCAAAGAGATTTGTTTCTTTAATGCTGTAAATGTATTATATTTAGCTTGTACAATATTTGGTGGAAATTGACTTTTGAATAAGTAAGCGTAGATATTCTTATTTATGTTTATGTACAAGACTTTTAGCTTTGTACTTGATTTAGTGATTGCTGCATTCTGCCAAAGCCGCTAAAAAAAAATACACAGCCATATGTAATATGTTCACAATATACCTTTCAGAGAATTTTACACTCCTATTGAGGTACCACCAGTTGCTAGTGGAAAGCTTCAAATTCGAAACATACACAACACATTTCTGTGCGTTTATTATAAAAGTATTGTTCTACTTACTGATTGCAACTAATGAAGATTGTTCATCATTATTATATAAATACATTTGGATTTTTTGAATTATTATATAATTTGTTTATTTTATTTACCTAGTTATATTGTATATTAAATGATTTTAAAGCCATTTTTAAGATGGTAATGTAGCAAAACACTTATGTTTCTGTAGTATGACACGTTTCACAAACATAATTGCAACAAACATGATATATCCGATATCAAAAGTCATAATATTGGAAGTTAAACTGTTGTGGATACGATTTCAAGAATGCTGTTAGAGAGAGTACCCTTTAGACCTCATGCTCACACCAAATTAAAGAATTCAAATAAGGGTTTTTGAGACAAATCGAAAAAGAGAATGTTAGCAAAGTTGACAATCTAGACAGAAACATTTAATCTTTTGCTTATCGCTAGGAAGGAAGACCCACTCGTTGCTTTGCAACGAGCTTTGCTCTAGTTATTCTTTTTTTTTTCCCCGCTCGATTTTTGACAGGCGATTTCTCTAAGACCTTTGGACTGATTTTTATGAAACTTTCAGGTTAGATACCTTGTAGTTAAACCTATTTACACCTTTTTCAATTTTTTGATGCATGCCTTTATTTGTGAGTTATTGCCCTTTAATTGATAATTTTTGATGTCTCGTTTCCACTAAAAATCTCAAGAACGACATAAGATATTTGCACGAAAGTTGGAGAACTTGTTGCCAATACATTGTAGATGTGCAGAACGATAAAATTATAAGATGATTTCTTAAAGTTTGGAAGCTATAAAACGGCAAATTTTAGTAATTTTTTTTCCTTGAATTTTTGCTACTTTTTGTGTAATAACTTTTGAACCGAGAATAATTTGGTAAGAGATATATAATAAAAGTTATGTGTAATTACGAGAGCTTTCATATTAGATTACTGAAAAGGGGCTGGCCCCTATAATTAGGTGTTAATAGCTCATACACGTTTTTTTCTGATAGCTAAAAATATTGGTATATTATGAAAAAGTTTGACTGAAATAATTTCGAACTTATTAAATCTTGTCATTTGATATAAAAAGAAATAAACTTCAAGCTATATTTAATTGTTTTTTTTTAATAAAACAAATATGTGAGAAACCTTTCAGGAACAAGTTGTCTACTATAGCCAGCCAAGCCTTTACTGCATGTGCACAGTTTTAGTTGATGCATCTGAAAGATATAGTTTTGATTCGGTGTTTCTCTGTTTTCTTTTTATTCAAATAATTTTAAAATATGGTGATGTACACAACAATAATTAGTTTAGAGGATTTTTTTTCGGGGTCTCTTGTTTGTAAACAACGCGCGGCATTGTGGGAAATAGGAAGGTACTAAAGACGCGATGTACTAAAAACTGATTTGACCTGATTCAAAATTGTCTGTAAATATTCCAAACAATTGAATTTTTGTATAGCATAATGCATCAAAGTCATAAAGTCTTTACAAAATTTATTTAAAATACTCAATATTATCATTTAATTAAAAAATTAAAACGCCAGGTAAATATCAGGTCTTTAGTATATTCCGTTTTTAGTGTGCCCCATCGAGTCGACGTCGGACACATGTTTACAAACTGAAAATAGAAATGAGTATGATTTGTGAAGTTGAACATTTTCTCACAATAGAAGCCGTATATAGACCTTCACGCACATTTAATCTGCAACTACGAAGTACTTTGTCACTCCTCTGGGACATTATTCTAAGCAGAATTATCCCGATTCATATATTCTAAGAATCTTGTTTGAATTGTTTACGAGGAAATTCCGACTGTCACATTAACAAGGATGAACACTCTGCTTGGGATTTCCCAGTGATAATTGTATAGAGTGATGAATGAGCTGACGGCGACATTTTAATGTATGATTGGCTTGCTTGGAGCATTGGAATGAAGGTTAGAATATTTTGTTTTACTTAAAATTTACACTACAGTACTGATTACATGACAGCTTAGTAATAGAGCATTGATATTATTAGAAATACATAGACACACCGATATATTATCTGTTTTACAGTTCAGACGCTCTCTGATAGCCTTGTAAATCCCCACAGCTTTATATTTTATTTAAAAAAAAATTGAGGATGTAATTTCAACAAGTCTCGCTTTCAAAACCAAAAATGCAAAAATTCCAACACAACAGTCATACTATCTATCATAGTAATCATATTCTATAATTAAAACTACACTTATTGTTACAGTATATATTCAACTAATAATATATTGACAGTGCGACTGTTCGGGTGAGGGTAGATACTTATTCAGTTTTAATTTAGATCAGGCTTGTCAAACCGCATAGGCATGCGTAATGGCAAAATTAAATCAAAATGCTTCATATTGGTGGTCAGCTTAAAGTACTTGTGCTATTTTTGAGTGAAAAACTTAAGAAAATAGTATTAATCACTAAAATGGGTGTTCAGACACTGTGACATTATGTCAAATACATCTGCTTCTGCTGTAGGTGACATGATTTGTAAAAGATGTCATATTAATACCCTTACTGAAGCCTGACTGTAGAAGTAAAATTTTAATTCGCATTTGTTTTCTTTGCATTAGCTGTCATGTGAACACAGTTTGATTTGCATTAATTTGATTCACATTATTTTACTTCGTGATAATTTACTGCGAATTCAACTCTCCTTGTGAACAGGGTAATAGACTCTGAAGTCACATGTCATCGTAGTGTAAGTGACTAAGTTAGGCCTACATAATAGGGGTGCAACGATACACCTACCCCACGGTATGATACGTATCACGGTATTCAGTTCACGATACTTATCACGGTACGTGACATATTGTGTTAAAAAGTCAGAGGTTTGTCATCATATACTCTAAACTCAAAGGTTTCATCAAATGTTCATTAAACTAACACTGGGAAAGTGATAACGTCATTCTACCTGTTAAATATGAGGCTGGAAACAGGTTTAACTGCCATGTCTGCAGTTTCATTGACCTCATGTTTCGTGCAGAAGCCATTTTAAAATTGTAAATGAGGAACCAAAACGGACAATTTGGATAATTACAGACCGATTGAACCGAACTGTGATAACAGTTTGAGGTATCGTGAACCGAACCGGGGAAAAATAAACCGCGGTATAACGTCAAATGGTTTATCATTGCACTCTTACTACATAACCAGTCTAAAGCTTGAATATAAGTGCTGATTTTAATGTCAGAGCAATGTTTTTATTCACTTTTTATCTCAATTTATCCATTAAATTAAGGTGAGTTTTATTTTTTGGAATATTTTGGTAATTAATTCTTACAAGAATGTAGCTTAAACATGTTAAAGAAGCAAAGCACTGTGGGTCCAAAGTTAACTGCGGAAACATTATATGGATCAATGTGCAAGTCACAATCTTCTTTTGCCAAGGTGTTATCATAAGAGCTCGCATTATGAGCAGGGATTAGTTCTGCTGTCTGGACTCGCTATAAATAGATGTTCTCAAAAAGTCTTAATTAATATCATACTTTATTGACAAAAAAAGGACAAATATTGCTCAGTTAAATTGCAAAAGAAATTTGTTTTAAAAAAATTGTAATAATAGAAAGTTTGCTTTTCTGTATGATAAGACTGCAGGAATGGTTTATTTGTTTATTGGCCTATCAAACATTTTTCAGTCATTTTATGGTGCCACCACTTGGGATAGTATTAGCTGCAAATATAGACTTGTACTCAGCATTTATTGCCTTTGAGAAGTATGGGATCCTCTTTGTGCCAACACCTACCGTGACACAGAATCTAGGTTTATACAGTCTCATCGGAGTAACCTGTCTCAAGCATTTAGCAATGGGATTGGAACCTGCGACATAAGGTTCAACTTCTTACTGATACTTTGATTGATAATATTTATTTGAGAATTTCACTCATTCACATATTTAGAGATGTTAATATGTACTGTAACAGTTGAAAAGCATCAGTTTAGACCTTTACTTAGAACTCAGGGTCATTGTCCTAAGTAAACATGTACTGTGAGGTTTTTAAGGTCTCGTTCACTTTATATGCTGGGTGCATTGTTAAGGAACATTACTGCGTAAATGTTTATGTCTTAAATTTGATGCAGTGAATTAAAATCAAGCCCAGCTTCATGATTTTGCAAAGCGAATGCCCTACCACTAGGCTACCATAACAGACAATGATGTATTTGGGTTTTATTATATAGCTAATGATTAGTCTCTAATAAAATACAACCAAAAATCTAGAGAATTTTAGCGTTTAATACGTTGATGTTTTATTGAACGCTAACTTTGTATAGCGTATATAAGTATGCCCGAAACATTCCGCATACGAGCGTTCAATATCGAACGCCTCGTTGTAAACAAAAAAGTTGTCTAGTCAAATCCTCAGAGCTAAATTAACGAAATTAAGTGGCATTTACATAAGATGTATTTATTTTTCCCACAAAATGAAATTATTTACTAAAAATTTTGTGCGTATTAAACCCATTAAAACCTAAATAAGCAAATCATATCACGCTTCCATGGTAACAAAACTTTACAAAGTCTATTTTGTGTAAGCTTGACGGTGTGGTGTAAACAGCCTGCTGAAACATTTTTGAAACCGTGTCGTCATAAACACACTAGCCGATTGTCATCATGGTCATAAGCGTTGTAGTGCATTTTTAGCTCTACTGGTCAGAGACCAGAAGAGCTTATGCGATAGTAATGCGTCCGTCGTCCGTCCGTCTGTCTGTCTGTCCGTCTGTCTGTCTGTAAACAATTTTTCAAAATGCTACTCCTCCTACAGTTTTGGTCCGATTTCAATATAACTTGGCACACAAGTAGACTACACTAAGATACATAATTTTATGCATCGGTTTTTGATTTCGATGAACGGTGTTGCCGTGGTTACTAAAAATAGAAATTTCTGTTAAATTCTTTCAAAATGCTACTCCTCCTACAGTTTTGGTTTGATTTCAATATAACTTGGCACAAAAGTAGACTACACTAAGATACATAATTCTGTGCATCGGTTTTTGATTTCGATGAACGGTGTTGCCGTGGTTACTAAAAATAGAAATTTC